GCGGCATACAAATTGAATTAATAAATAATAAAAGATTTTGTTTTGTTTTGTTTTGTTTTGTTTTGTTTTGTTTTGTTTTGTTTTTTCCTTTCCTTTCCTTTCCTTTCCTTTCCTTTCCTTTCCTTTCCTTTCCTTTCCTTTCCTTTCCTTTCCTTTCCTTTCCTTTCCTTTCCTCCTCTCCTCTCCTCTCCTTCTTTCCTTTCCTTTCCTTTCCTCTCCTCTCCTCTCCTCTCCTTTTTTTCTTTTCTTTTCTTTTTTGGAGCGGTGCTCAACTTCCACATGACTTTTTAATAATTCCAGGAATATCTTCCACTTTCAGACCACCTCCCATGAAGCCAAAAAATTTTAGGCAACTCTCCTGAATCAATGGCAGGCATAGCTATTGCTCCTAGTAGGACTTTCAAGCTTTAATTTATCTTTTTTTTTTTGCTAAGCAGAGGGATACTTCATACATTATGCAGAAACAAACTCAGGTCTGCCGTCGAACGCGCGCCAACACAGAGAGAGCTTGCAGCCAATCGTGGTTCCCTGTCCAGGTGCATAGATGAATGTATACATTTTATGAACAGGTGAATGTAATATTTGTCGCCTGCACTATTTTATATTTGGGAATAAGTTTCAACCATATCATAAAGGAATCAAGGCAGATAAACCTATTGCGAGGCACCAGAAGTCATTTTATGTGCTCCAAATACATGTACGACAGAAGCACAATTGAATCCAGGAGTGTTTTCAAGAGTCAAGGCACTTAGGCCATGTAAATGGGGGGGTGGGGGGTGAAGGAACTGAATCGATTTGATCTATGCAGCATAATCCCTCAGGGAGGTGCTCTGCCCAAGCCCTCTTGGAATCAAGGGAAGCTACGCAAGGATGCTCTTGTTTCGCCATGTGAAGCCACTTCAGCTGGACTCTAACCCTTTATTAACAAGCATTTTTGGTGCAGGGGATGTGAGGGGGAGAGAGAGAAGTGGCACTTGATGCCTATTATGTTTCAGCGTCTAATATGCTTGCCCTGTCTCATTATTTTGCATGCTGCACAGTTGAAGCTTGGCAGAATTAAAAAAAAAAAAAAGTCTGGGGCTAATTCTGACTCAAATTAAAGAGTTAATTAAGGCAGGCTAAGAGATAGAGAACTCGCTTACATCATCTATCCCAGGGTCCTCCATGGTGGGGACATCCACTTGTGTTGAAGTGCGGCACTCACTATCACCTTGGCCAGGGATCTCCAACCTTGGTAACTTTAAGCCTGGCGGACTTCAACTCCTTTGCTGGCTGGGGAATTCTGGGAGTTGAAGTCCGCCAGGCTTAAAGTTACCAAGGTTGGAGACCCCTGGCCTAGGCACTCACTATCTCCTAGGCATCGCAGGCTTTGTCCTGCTGGGTATGTGATGGGAGTTATAGTTAGTACATCTGGAGAGCTCTAGCTTGCAAAGATTACATTTACATGCATATGAATGGCCATATGGAAATAAGAACACATGCATGCACAGGTGGACACGCGCATGTGGTACAATATACACATATACTCATCAGAAAGCAAAAGGTTCCTATGCCTCTCCTCCTACTCCAAGTTGGGTCTCAGGAAAACACGTAACTGCTTAGAAATGAGAGGCTGGCTACATAGACACATAGACTTGCTGGTTTGAGGCAATACACAACACACCAAGAAGCTTGAGGTGGAGGAAACACCAGTACAATACTTGTATACCCTGTACTTGTAACCTTGTACACCCTATATAAGCACAGCGTGCAGCCACGTGAGCTCGAAGACAGTTGTGCAAATGCTCAAATATTCCTCAATTCCAAAGACACAGAAGGGAGACGCCAAGGAACACGCATGCCTCATTGTGCGAACCCAGTTTTACCCACATTCTTTGAAGCACGTCAAAACGCGGTCCTGGTTTGCACGGGCTCATCAAAAGCTTTTTATCTCGAGCAACAGGCACACAAAAGTGCATGGACACACATTGGTTTACTTCCCTCCCTCCAATTTGTGAAAAGATAATCAGAGTGGGGTTTTTTTTTTTTCACGCCGACATGTGTAGTCACTCAAACAAACAACAACAAAAAAAATCAGCCACACCCTACAATCATGCCAGCTCAGTCGCCTGGCTTTTTCACAGAGATTTCATAGCTTTCCATTCATTCAATACGTGGAAGGATGCAAGCAGCCTTCCAATCAATGCTACCTTCCACACAATAGCCTCTCCTTCCTCAGACTGAATCCTGGCGTAATGACAGCATGCACAGGGCATGATCTGAAAAGAGCTTTTCCTTGCATGCTTGACTGACACCCGGCTTCTCTCTACCTCTTCTTCTCCGCTAAAAAAAAAAGGGGGGGGGAACCATCCGTCTCCATCAGACCAGCTGAACTGCCACCCTGCAGAACGGATGATCAAATGGTCACCTGTCTGACTTCAGCACTTTCTCCCCTGGTACACCCAACTCTTTTAACACTTTGGCTGACCTTTCTGAAAGGGCCCTTTTCCCAGTAGTAAAAGCACATGTTCTGCAGGAGGAAGGAATCAATTCCTGGCATCCCTAGTTAAAAGGACTAGAGGAGCAACTCTTTCTTGCTGAAGAACCTGGAGAGCAAATACTAGCTAGAATAGGCAATGCTCGGCAAGACTAACCTATCCGATCACTTCAGATTAACTCATCAAGAAAAGAAAAAAAAACACCAGTGCAGGTACCATCTAACTCCGTAACTGGGTATAACCTGCATGGTTACTACTGCTTTTGCATTTCTCAGGGCTGTTTCACATAAATGGTGTCCTTCCCACTCATCTTGACGTATGACAACTTTCGCCAGCCTAATAACCTTTTTGATGTGTTGGATTTCAACTTTCATACTTCCCAACCAACATGACTTTAAACCCACACTGTCTAAGAATTAGGGGAACAGCTGAAGTCCAATGCATCCAGAGGGAATCGGGACTGGGACATATTTATTAAATAAAGGACATAAAGCCACTCTCCTTGCCCTTTCCCCTTTCCCCCAAAAAAACACCCTCCATAGGCCAATGTTCTCCCTATGCCAAATGGGACAGTAACAACATTTTCTCACTAGAATACTTTTGTCCAGGACCACACCAATGGAGAATTAGCTAGTATTAACTATTATGGCTGCCTAAACTCTAATAAAATGATTAATTATGAATTCCAACGTACACTGTTAATATCTACTCCACAATCTATGTTTAAATGAGTCCCCATATAAGGGAAGGCTGAAGCAGCCCAACATATGAATTGTAAAGGTAAGCAATGCCCATCTTCAGTTTATTCTCCCTACACAGTACTATCAGTATCGATTTCATAGATCCTCACTTCTCTAAAGTGGGACACTTAGACGCTTTCGAATGATCTTCCTCCCTTTGTCTCTCCCACAAGTATCTCTGAGGCAAGGAAGCTGGAGGCACCCAGCTTTTTTTTTTTTTTTGCAAACTGTTGTCTTTTCTGTGCATTTCAAAGCTTTAAGCCTTAGGTGACCATCACTGGCATGCTTGGAACAGACTGCTTCTTGCAGGAAAACACAGCTTTGCTGCAAGAGGTGGCGACAGGGATCAATAGGTGGCATTTCTCTGAGCCAACCAGACAACTCCTGGAGGTGTGGTCTTCTTCCCATTGACACACAACTCAGAGGCCTTTTGCCAGGTTCAGCGTTTAAGCCTCCTGCTGCTTTTTATCCACTGGAACCCCCCCAAATTCTCCACCCAGCCTCCTTTCAGCAGCTAATTACTGCCCAGTCTTTTTTAGAATAGCCTTCCCCATCCCCGCAGGGAGCCACTACAACTGATGTTGCTGCACAGGCACTCTTCAAAGAAAAAGTCTCCTTCTTTGTCTTAGTAGTGCATAAACCTCATCACTCTGCACTCTTAAAGGCAGTTGGCTAGGGGAGGAGAAATCCTAAAGGCACCCTGTCAGCATGTGCACACATAAAAGGCTCTACACCAGGCAAGGAAAAGGAATTCACAGGGAGCACCACAGTTGTTCTCAGGTCCCAGTGGATGGTTTCCAATCCTGGCAGCTCAGGAATGTTGCATTTCCAAGCATCTTAAATAGCACAATACACCTTTGGTAAACCCAGGGTCTTCTTTGCAGTCTCAGAGCAGCTTCCACGTCCTGAAACGCTAATGAAAGGCATCTCAAGAGATGGCATGCTTCTCCTGTGGTTCTCTACCTAGATTAAGTGTCCTGGGTCGATACCCAGACTGTCCCCATATCCATAATGAGGTCATCTAATACAGCTACAGCTTCCCCCAGAAGGTTTTAGAGTTCCTTGGAAATAAATGGCAAGCAAACCCACATGTGGGATTGGAGAGCTGGCAGGAACAGAGGGAAGCCACTGTAATTTCCCAGGGATTAAGAACTGTTATCACTTTTGCATGCACTGCCATTAGTTTCATCCCATGGCACCCTGGGAGCTTCTCCAGAAACAAAAATAAAACAAATCTTGAAACAAGCCTTGGAAGCTATCACTCAGCTCCTGTCCCCAAACAGATCTCAAATCTTTGGCGTCCTGGAAACCAGGTTGCAGGAGATGATGCGGTCTCCACCTTGACACCAGGTGACAGAGACATCCAAGCCACTCGATCTCAGCATATATATATATATTTAAAGTGACTAACTTCATTGACATCTTGATAACTTTATGGCTCTTGCTGCACTGGATGTCTGACACAATCCTGCCACTATCTTGGCCTCGGTGTTTCTACCCTCTGCCCCCCCCCCAGGACATTTGAAACCATGAACCGACAGGAGTCCCCAACAGCATGCAGGCACTAGGGAAAATTGGGGAGGAAGTTGTCCAATGGTCCAGCCCATCCTCCCGGCAGATCCTCCCCTAACATCCATGTAGTCTGGCATCCTGCCATCAGGCTCCAACTTGACCCAGGCACGAGGGTTTTTTTTTTTTCCCCCCTCTGGGGCTCAGCCACACCTCAAAACCCCGGACCAGCCCCCCCCCCCCCCCCCCACGACATTTCTTTCATCCCACTGACCTGCTCTGGTCCCTGGAAGCAAATCCGGCACTGCGGGGTCCTCATCCCACTATCCAAGCTGCTGCTGAGCGATACTGAGTCCAAAGCTCCTCCGGCCCCACCCGCGGTGGGTTGATGCCCCGGCTGGTGCCCCGGAGGCTGAAGGCGAGGGTCCTTCTCCTCCAAAGCCAGGCTCCGGGGCCGGGTCTCGGCGCCTCCCCCGCCGTAATACTCCGCTTCATCGTCCTGCTGGACCGAGCAATCGGCGAAGGGCGGCCATCCGCAGCCACTGCCGCCCAGCGCTCCCCGGCTTCCCCCAGCTCCAGGCTCGGGCTCCGGGCGGCCCCGCCGCATCAACACCAGCAGCTTCAGCTCGTTGAAAAACATGCGGATCCGGTACTTGAACATCATTTACCTTTTTTTCCGACGGCGGCAGCAGCGTGTACCTTTCGGGATGGGGAGGGGGGAAGAGAGCCACGGAGAGGTGGGGTGCGGGACGCCGCCGTCTAGCTGTGCCCCTCCTGCCTAGCATCGGGGGACGGAGAAGATCGGGAAAGCGCCCGGCAGGTGGAAGACGGGGGGACGGAAGGAGCGAGACTCGCAGCCCACATCTCGCCGCGAATGGGAAAGGCAAGCTGCGCGTTTACAGGTGTCGGGGAGGGAGGGGGGCAGAGATGGATGAAGGGCAGGAGGAAATGGGGAGGGGGAGGTTGCAGCCCGCTATGACGGAGAGAAAGGGCTTTGGGCGCGGACGGCGAAGGGTTCAATCGAGAGGTCGGAATTCTACAACTCCGGGTCCCGCCGGGGTGGGCGATCGGGGCGGGAAAGGGGTGAGGGGTGGGGGGAGTTGGGCAGTCGTCCCGGCGCGAGGTCCAGGTGTTGCGGGAGGACTGCTAGGCTGGGACAGAAGCCGCGCTCCCCCTCTTTCCGAAGCTGGGGGGGGGGGGGAAAGCGGGGTTTGCTCTCCGCTAGGATTCGGCGCGCTGCAAAAGTCCCTCCAGGACCCTCCGCGGGAGGCCGGCGTCCGGATTTCCTCGGGCCATTGTAAAGCGAGGCGAGCCAAGGGAGAGCTTTCCGGCGGTCAGGGCCTGCAGTCGGCTACGCGGAGGATCCGGAGAGGGAGGGAGGAAGGGAGGGAGGAAGGCAGGAGGAGGGGGAAGAGGAGGATTCAGCAGACGCGCTGCAACGGCGGGCTGCGCCTCTTCTTCCCGAGCTTCCCTTTAGTGCCGGCCGCCGGAGCGGCGGGGAGGCGGCTCCTCCGCTTCAGGACCTGCAGCCCCAGCGACAGGGCCCTCTCTTCTTCTTCTCCTCCTCCTCCTCCTCCCCTCGGGAGCTGGCTGGGCAGCAGCAGGCGCAGGCGGTTCTTTTGTCTGCAGCGCTACCGGTAGCTCCGCTCCCTGCTGCAGCCTCAACTGCAGCCGCGCCGCCGGGCTGGAGGAGCCGCATCCCTGCGCGCTCGAGCTGGTGGTGGTCTTCCCCCTGCGCCGGCAGGCGGCCGCTTCCACCCTCTCCTGCCGGGATCGGGGACCGTGCGTGCGTGCGCAGGGAAAGGGAGGCTCCGGCAAGCGTCTGAGGTGCAGACAGAGCCCTCTTCCCCTCGGCTCTTTATTATGTAGCCGGCCCCGGCGGGCACTAGGCTTCTGTCTCAGGGCGCCCCCCAGCCGTCCGGGGTTGCCAGCCGATTCCCCACGCCTCTCCTCCCACCGCCCCCGAGATCCGGGGGCTGGGGCGCACGACAGCCCGAATGGCAGCGGTGGTGGCGGCGGCTCAGGGCTGAGGAGAGGGAAGATGGCTTCTCCTTCCGGTACAGCATGTTAAATAAAACATTTCGGGAGGAGAGCGAGAGCGCGAAGCGGGTGGATGCGGGGCTTTTGCGTGGGGCCTCGGAGGCGCGCCGGCGTCGGACGAAAACCGAGGGGGCTGATGCGTAACCGCTGCGCCACTCGACTGTCGGCCGACCTCAACCACGTGGAAGAGGGGAAGAGTCCCCGGGAAATGCGAAAAGTGCCCTGAGAAACATCCTCCGTCTCCCCTTTCTAGAGATGCCTAGGTGGAGACGGTTGAGAAAGCAGATCTGAGGGGGGGAAACCCGATTTTTTCAATCGCCTCACAGCCCTATCCAGGCACGTTCATTTCATTGCAAGAATTTGACAGTGGTCCTCGCTAAACGACCGTGAAAGCGTGGCCTCTTCTCCGAAAATCATTCCCTAACTCAGCAGGCTAAAACCGTCTCTCCCTTAGGAAGAACATCTCTGTCCTGACCCAGAAGTTTGGTGACCTCAGCTTGCTGGAGTGCTATTGTTCACATGTGAGGCTCTGGGTCAGGTAGGATGTTGAGGAACAAAGGAACATGGGCAGATAAAGCAATGGTTTTTTTTTCCCCTAGGTTGTATTTATGGTTAATTTGCCTTCTGAGCCTTGAAGTAGAAATGTTACTTTGATACATAGATGGATAGACAGATAACAATCTTCTCTAAATAGTTAAATAGGATTTAAGCCCAGCCGACTTTCCATTATTCGAAATAAAAATTATCCCTTATACCAACAAGCTATGTGTAATGGATAAAACAGGGAAAGCGGTTCAGCGAAGAAACTTGAGAAAGGATTAGGGAAGGAATAGATTATATATTAGGTGCTCTCCCAATGTTTTGGACTTTATCTCCTATAATCCCTTAACACAACTGTTTTAATAGAAGTTGCAGCAGCACAACATCTGAAAGGAGGCAGGTTATCGCTAAGTCTGGGGTTTAAAGAGCAGTTGGATAAAGTAGGCTGGTAATGAAATTTGGGGGAGGCTGTTTTTAACATAGTCACCAACCTGGCAGAAGGCACAGAGGTGGGGGTGGATTGCAGATGAACTTATTTCACACTACAATTAAGTAACAAGAAGGGTGAACAAAAGACAAAGCGAAGCATTGCTTTATTCCTAGCGCCAAAGTGCTATTAATGTTAATAGGTAAGCAGAAAGCAAGAGAAGAATGGAGTAAAAATAATTTCCCTTCCCTGAAGAATCTTACGACCAAAATTTTGACAAAAGAAAGGCTGCAGGCAGAAAAATGAACACGAACACATACTGTTGAATATACTTAGGTCTGGAAATGAGGATTATAAGGAATAAAACCAATCAATCAGAATAGAGCTGGAAGGGGCCTAGTCCAACCCCCTGCTCATGCAGGAGACCCCTAAAAATCTTTTTGGTAAAGCTGAGTTTTGAAAAAGTATGAAGGAAAAGGACAAGGTAGCACCATATGTTCTGGGAAGGAGGCCTAAACACAGTGGCAAATAGGAAAGATGGAAAGGAAGCCAGATAGTTTGACTATGGACAATGGTTATAGAGTTGGAGGAGCAATGACATAAGATGAGGTCATTAAAAAATACCAGACACTTGTAATCACTAGGAAGAATGTAAAAATAAGGATAATTTTCTCCAAAAGTAAAGGCAATGGGAAATTACTGGTAAATTGTAAGCAATTCATAAGGCACACACAATTTTCTCTCATTGTATTCTTAAATAATGTCAATTGAAAGGTCGGCAGTTCAGCAGTTCGAATCCCTAGTGCCACATAACGGGGTGAGCTCCCGTTACTTGTCCCAGCTTCTGCCAACCTAGCAGTTCGAAAGCACATAAAAAATGCAAGTAGAAAAATAGGGGCCACCTTTGGTGGGAAGGTAACAGCGTTCCGTTGTGCCTTTGGTGTTTAGTCATGCCGGCCACATGACCACGGAGACGTCTTCGGACAGCGCTGGCTCTTCGGCTTTGAAACGGAGATGAGCACAGCCCCCTAGAGTCACGAACAACTAAGCACATATGTGCGAGGGGAACCTTTACCTTATTCTTAAAACAACAATCACGTGAAGTAATCGCCAGAGAGAGGTTGTCCCAAAGTCACTCGGTAAACTTTGGTATGTGAATGAGGATGGAATCTCTTTCCTTTTCCAAACCAGCAACTAAATTCAACTGTTATACTGTACAATACTACTGTTGTGGCCTGCCAGCTGCCAGTGGAGCTAGCGGCAGACTCTGATGATGATGAGCTTGGGGAGGAACTTGGGCCAGTTCTGGAGTCTAGGGAAGGCTCTGATGGATGCTCTGCGTCAGACGCAGAGATAGAGCCAGGGCCATCTGACATTTCCCAGCCATCGGAGAGGCAGGTGCCTTTGGAGGCTGATATGAGTGAGGAGGAAGAACAGCTGGGGCCTGTTCCAGATGCACGTATGCGCAGAGCAGTTAGGAAAGGTGAACAACGGAAGACAAGGAGTCAACTCGGTAAGCAAAGCATACATGGATGCTGAATGGCGCCTCCCTGACTGGGGAATAAATAGAAAAAAAGGGGAGTGGTTGTCATAGGAGACAACAGTTCGTATTTCTGAAGATTTTGCTCATTGTGCCACAAAGACTGCTTGCCAGAACTTAATTTGAAGCCTTTTGGCTGGGAGCTCATGGCCTTGAAATTATCACAAGGAACTGATAAGGTCTGTTACTGCAGTTAACTCCTTGAAGGACTATTGCTCGGACTTTTCGGTGGGTGAATGCAATTAATTCACAAGAGGTAAATAAAGAGGGGTTTTTCGTGACAAGGAGTCTGTTTCTTGCTTCTGCTAAGGCTGGGTCAGAACAACTACACCCTTCGGATAATAAGGAATTTAACTAAGGTCTTCTGGAGTTTCTTCTTTACAATTGCATTGACTTAATAATAGCCATGTTTCAGTATTATGTTCATGTCTAAATCTCAGCACATGAGAAATAATAAGTACTCTTCCCTACCCAAATTGAGCTGGAGTGAGATGTCTCCTAAGAGCAGGTCCCCACGTCTCTCATGGGGTGGGAGAGATGAGCAACCCTTGAATTATGTGCCTCTTCTTGCAGTATTCCAGTTTGGGGCTTTGGGGCCTGCACTCATGAACTGGTCCTTGGGTTGCTTTTAGTGTACAGGTTGTCCTCGATTTACAACAGTTTGTTTAGTGACCGAAGTGACTTATGGTGGTTTTTCACACTTACAATCATTATAGCATTCCCTGTGGTCATGTGATCAAAATTCAGATGCTTGGCAACTGACTCATATTTATGACAGTTACAGTGTCCCGGGGTCGTGTGATCCCCTTTTGCGACCTTCTGGCAAGCAAAGTCAACAGGGACTCCAGATTCACTTAATAGTGGTGTTTAACAAGTGCACTGATTCACTTAACAACTATGGCAAGAAAGATAGTAAAATGGGGCAAAACTCAGCAAATGTCTCCCTTAGCAACAGAAATTTTGGGCTCAATTGTGATTGTAAATTGAAGACTATACCTGTCTTCCATGCTGCATTCTACAATCTTTCATTAATACTGAAAGGCTTGGGGAGGCACTGGTACACTCTAATATTGTCAATATGGGAAAAATTGTAAGATACAATGACATTTTGAATGATGAAGGGGAATTAAAAACTAAACAGGAACTCAGTCGGCAAGGAATAGAAATTGCATGGTGGCCACAAATGCAAATACAATCGCATTATGAGAAAGATGCAAAAATGTACAGCTTTAATGAAAAACCAACAGAATTAGACCAGATATTAATCGGAACAGATGATAAATTGATAAAGAAATTATATGGTTACATATCGAGCATCAAATTAGAAAGTGAGCAGGTAAAGGAGACGATTGCTTGGGCTAAAAATTTTGGACACGCAATACAATTAGATAAATGGCAGAAACTATGGGATAGGAATGTAAAAATGACAATGTCAACCACATATAAAGAAAATCTGTATAAAATGTTTCTATAGATGACACTTCGCACCGGCAAGGTTGGCTAAAATGTATAAAGACAGATCAGTCAAATGTTGGAAATGTAACCAAACACCAGGTTCATACTACCACATGTGGTGGACATGTCCCAAAACTAAAAAATATTGGTTGAAAATACATATCTGGCTGGAAAAAATGACAAAGAAGCATATTGAACTGAGACCAGAGACATTTTGTTGGGCATTCTACAAAAAAAGACTACATATTTGATTTTACATGTACTGACTGCAGCTAGGATTGTATTTGCGCAACAATGGAAATGTGAGGAGACCCTGGCCGATGAGAGGGTGATTCAGAAAATAATGGAATGCACAGAAATGGACAGATTAACGCTTATTATTAAGGACAGAGAAGAAACTGAATATTTTCTGACGTGGGATGTATTTTATCAATGGCTAGAGAATAGAAAGAGAAGTTAGGAAAGAGGAGATGTAAGAAGAGAAAATGTTACTATGGAGAGAAGTTTATGATGATGTTAAGTACTATTGTAAATTATCTTGATACAGAGTTATATTATCAATGTCATTGTAATGAATACAACAAGTATGCGAACTATGAATTTTCAAATAACTGTACCCAGTTCACACACTGTTTGATGGAGATGAAAAGTATTATAAATAAAATAAATAAAACTTGAAAAAAAAATACTGAAAGGCTTGGTATATCCTTCAGAAGGGGAGGACCACTTTTTACCTTGAACGCTGTTTTGGCAAACACAGGAGCAGACTTTGGAATATGCTTAAGTCTTTTTTTTTTTTTTTTTTTTTTGTCTCTAGCTGAAAACTCTTGATGGCTTTTGATTCGTCTCCTTGCTTGGCCTCTCAAATTTACATTCTGTCCTATAGGCAGAAGGTGACACAGGGCACGATTTGCATTAAAATCCAATCAACTAATTTGGCAGAGAAAACACGATTGGTTTCTTGAACATGGAGTTCCATCTGGAATTTTTAGATAATTGCAGCAAAGAAATGACAGAAAAGGTGAAAGGAAAGCCTATGTAAAAAGTTGTGCTGAATACCACTTCTGGCACTGTTTATTGCTATAAAGTGCTCCACAATACAAGTACTCTAAGTTGTGCAAAGCTACGCCAAAGCAAAGTAACAATTTTAACTTATTATTTTCTTC